GTGATGGTGACGATGGTGATAGTGGTGGTGGTGGTGGTGGTGATGGTGATGGTGGTGATGATGACTATGGTGGTGATGGTGGTAGTTGTGTGCTGGTGCTGGTGGTGCTGAGGAGGCCTACTGAGCCTGAGGAAGCTAGATCTGCTGAGAGTCGGGGTAGAGTAGCAGAGAAAACTTTTCAGCCAGACTCCTGGGTCTTTGAGGCTTCTGGAATGTGCTCCCGAAAAGGAGAATCGCACTGAGCCTCCTCCAGGCACGGCAGACACCACCACGAGCCAGCGTCCGCCCGTGCCAGTCCCCACCCTGCCGTTCACAGGTCATTTGGGATGAAGGAGACAGAAGCCGCTGACGAGGCCCTGAGGAGGGGTGGGCCCAGCGGCGGGAGGGATCGATCAGTGAGTAATCGAGTTTGGGGCTGGCTCTAATTTCTGCATGACACTGCCAGCGACTAAGATGCTCTGTTCCCGAGTGACTACAACGAACGTGAAATCTATTAGAATCTCAGGGGGGACGCTTCCGCCGGGGAGGAGCCTGAGGGATGTGGGGAAGGAAAGGCTACCCCCCATCCATGCTCGGAGCACACACCTGCGTCCAGATCCCTATATGTCCTGGCTGGGGCCTCAGCAGGGAGACCCCGGAGGGGGCTGCCGCAGGAGAGCCAGGCCCTGGGGCGAGGGTGGTGTGGGCTATGGGACAGGAACCTTCTGGGGTCCCTTCTGCAGCCCCTGGCTGGTCCCCTCTGGGCCCAGAGGCCCTGGGCGAGGCCAGGACTTGCCCGGGGCAGTCCATCTCTCACACCAGCTCCGATCACTCCTTCTCCAACCAGCTCGCCAGGGTTCCCCACACTTAAATCACTTGAAGACGCCTTTGACGGAAAAGCTACTTCCCTGGGCCCCTCACGATTGACCTAAACCGTTTTTATTATAATGTTGCGGGGATGCGAACAACAGCAAGGTGGGCGTCCTCACTGGACTATAAACCAGAGAAAAATCTGAAGCCACTTACAATTGAACACAAACAAGACGGCAAAAACCATAAAACATCAATCTGCGGCATCTTTCCAGGGCAGATGTTTGGGGAGGGTCCCCCAGAGGTGGGCTTGCCACCAAGGCACACCCGCCAGCTCGATCCACGTTCATTCTTCTGCTTCTGCTCTGAGGCCGTGAGGTTGGGGACGCTGCTCACACGTCGGGGCAGGTTGTGTGAAGGCCTGCAGACCCCGCGTTTCACCCACAGCTGCCCAGGCCACTCGTGAGAGAGGCTCCCGGCACCTCTGCCAGGCTGTGTCTGTCCAGCACTGCCTTAAATGGGGGTGACCCAGGCATGACGGGGACAGGGGACAGAGCACTGCACGTGTCCGGCCACGCTGTCTCCTCGTGAACTGCTCCTAGAGGGGCATTCGGGCGGGAAGCAAGCGCGCACGTGTGCGTGGTGTGATCCCGGGCGCTGTGCCCCACCCGCCAAGTGCCACGCGGTGCCCTGGGGGTGCATGTGGGCACGTGTAAGCGCGTTCACGGGGAAGACCGGCTGAGGGGTAGAGGTCTGAGTGCTGGGTGCCCGGGGGCATCTCTGGGGACCCATGCGAGGTGGGGACAGGCTGAGTGGACCAAGTGATGCCACCCAAGGCCGAGCAGACGCCCATCAGAGGCTCCATTTTGACCCCCAGCCCAGTCTGGACAAGCCTGCTCTCCCCGGGCGCAGGGACAGGCCCAGGGACACACTGATGACGCTTGATGGGCTGTGGGCGGGGAGCTTCCTGCGGCTGTCAGCCCCTGGAGGGTGCCCTCCCTGTGCTAGAGCTGCCTCCACGTCACTGGCACCGTGACGTGTGGCATGAAAGGTCCCTTTGTCCCCGGGACGTGGTGGCCAGGGCTGTGCTGCCCTCTGTCTCCAGCAGGAAGTGGGCTCGGGCTGGTGGGTCAGCGCTGCGGCAGACGAGGGGCATGTGTGCTCAGCAGCCTCCCCTCAGCGCCCTAGGCGGGGCTGGTTCCCGGCACGCCCAGGCCGCACCGCCGCGTGGGCTGGGGTGGCCGTCAGAGGCTCGGTGTGTCAGTGCGCACGCGCACGTGTGTGTGTGTGTGCGTGCACACACGCACGCACTTCTGAATGCACAGGCGAGTGTGTCTGTGCCTATGTGTGTGTGTGTGTGCATTTGTGTGACTGCTGTGCTCCCATGCGTGTGAACATGAGCACGTGTGTCAGGTGAGCAGGCGTGTGCGTGTGTGCTCGGCCGTGGGCACCTGGCTCCCCGTCCTGCCCCCTCCCTCCACCTTCCCAACGGTGGCACCACCTCGCGCGTGGTCATGCTGTGGGCTTCCCCGTGGCAGGGGCCGCGTGGTCCCTCCTGCAGAGCTGCGTGTGACAGGGAGGAGTGGAAGAGAGGGGCCGGTGGCCTTGCGCGGCTTCACAAAAGGTGAACGGGGCCACGTGGGGCAGGGGGGCACCGCGGCGAGGTGGCGTCAGCCGAGGGCCTGGCGCGGGAGAGGGAGGCTGAGGCGCAGGGCGGAGCAGGCAGAGCCAGGCCCCCACAGCACCGGCCGGGAGGCCCTCAGCACTGTCTGTGCAGCCCCGTTCCGGGCGACGCGGGCCCTGCGCGCGCGGCCTCCGTGCCTCCGGCCTCGTCCTCCTCTTGCCGCCGAAGGGACGTCATCCCCGAGACGCTTGTTCGCACCATCAGACCCTCAGGGTCTGACCCTCGGGCAAGCGCTGGGGTGGCCTCCCCAGGCCTGCGCGGCGGGGGAGCCGTGATGACAGCGTCCCTGGGGTGCGGCTCTGGGAGGCAGACGGGAGCACAGATGCGGATCCCCTCTGATCCACGCTAAGCCCCTTCCTCCCCGTCCTCACGGCTGATCCCAGAGAAGCTCCCCCGCCACTTGTCAGGATCCTGGCTCGGGTGCTGCGCGCAGGATTTCCGGGGATCAGGCCGTGTGCGCGCCTCAATCCCGTAGCCGCTCCGTGGGCTTACGGCGTCCTTTCCCGGCGTCCGGCCAGGCTCTGGGGCCATCTTCTACCGTCACAAAACGGTGCACCCGGGACGGCGATGCGGCACGGGCTGAGGAGGAGGGCGGCGCGGAGGGTGTGCTGGGCGAGGCGCCAAGCTCCCGCGTGCCCGGGCCTGGCAGGGGCTCCGCCCGCCCGCACGCAGCTTCTCCCCTGAGGGGCCGGCCCGGAACGGCGGCCTGTGCGGCGATGGCAGCTGCTCATCCCGGAGACGGTGCTGGGGACGTGGTGAGCGGAGTCCAGGGTGTCCCCAGCCTGCCCTGGGAGCCGCGCTGTCTCAGCTCCGTGTTTTCCACGCTGACTTTCCAGCTGGATGAGAAGTGCGTCCGAGGGGTGGGTGTTCCTCAAGTCACAGGCTGCGGTGACAAAATGCCACCCACAGGGCAGCTGCAGCAGCAGACGTCTGGGGGCCGGGGTTTGAGATGAAGGCGCCAGTGGTCAGGTTCTGCGAGAAGCCCCCTCCGGCTCCTCGCTGTGTCCTTGTGGGCATGGTCCTCGTGGGTACGGTTCTTGTAGGCACATTCCCCATGGGCATGGTCCTCGTGGGCACAATCCTCGTGGGCACAGTCCTCGTGGGTACGGTTCTCGTAGGCACAGTCCCCATGGGCATGGTCCTCGTGGGCACAATCCTTGTGGGCACGGTCCTCGTGGGTACGGTTCTCGTAGGCACAGTCCCCATGGGCATGGTCCTCGTGGGCACGGCGCGAGCGGGCTCGGTGTCTGCTTCACTCGGGCACCAGTCCTATGGGACCAGGACTCCACCCTCGTGACCGCACGTAACCTGGATTACTCCCATAAGAGTGCAGTCTCTGAGGGCCCCCACGTGGGGGGTTAGAGGGTTAGGGCTTCCCCTGTGATGGGGAGCGCAGTCTGGTCCAGGGTGTGGCCTGGGAAGGAGTGGGTCTCAGGGTGACTGCCAGCTGCACCCCTGGAACGGCCCCAGGCCCCGCCCCCTGACCGGGCAAGCTGTCTCCCTGGCATTTTACCGCCACCCCTGCGGGGACAGGGCAGCGTGGGGAGCGCAGGGCAGACACACGCACACACCTGTGCTCGCTCGGCCTGGACCCAGCTCGAACTCCTGTTTCCTGGGCGATCCCAGGCCGTGGGCTCTCTGACAGTGGGACCAGAGCTGGGGCGCAGGCTGCGGCTGGAAGTGTGCGCGTGAGCCGAGGTAGCATCTGGCCCACGATGGGCATCTGGTCTGAACGCCCAGCCTGTGCAGCTGGAGGCCCCTCTGCTTTGTGCAGATCCCGTTTCTGTAAAAGTGCGGCCAGTCAGCCGTGCATGCGTCTGGAAGGACTTTGTCCTGGGTGAGAACATAGCCAGTTCTGCTCAGGTCCTTGGGTGAGGGTCACGTGAAGACAGTCGTCACTTGGTGGGCAGCCCCTGCTTCTAGGGCTTCCCATCAGAGGGGCCCCCAGGCCCACAGGCTCAGGATGGTGGGTACCTCCCGCCTGGGAGAGATGCGGCCCTCTCTGCCTGGAAGAGGTTGGTCCGGGCTCAGTGGCCACCGGAGGTCTACCTGGCCCCGTCACTTACCTGCACCCTGACCTGATGACAGGGGCTCAGGGCAGCCCCGCATTTTCGGGGGACCACGGAGGGGCTGTGGTCACTGAGAGACCTGCCAGTGAATGGGTCTGATGTCAGCATTGGCCACCCACCTCCTGAGCCCCCCCAACGTCCCCATCCTTTACCTGGGCCAGGTGTGCCGCGCTGGAGGCGTGTGCTGTGCCGGCTTTGAAGGAGGGAACGGCCTAGTCACCCCAGGAGAAGCCCGTGGCTGCTCCTTGCAACTGTCCTCAGCACCCCGTTACTGCTTCCTGGGGCTGGCGGCAGAGCCGGGCCCAGGAAGCAGCACTAAATGGGGGGGCCCGGGAGGAGCAGAGGCCCAGGCTCCGCCCACCAGGCCTTCCCGCCCCATGCACGATGCCTGGGGGCGGGGTCAGGCCGCCGGCGCTGCCCCGGGTGGGCCCTGCTGACCGCCGTCTTGTCTCCCGCAGCTCGGATCATCAGGACGAAGCAGTGGTGTGACATGCTCCCGTGTCTGGAGGGCGAAGGCTGTGACCTGCTGATCAACCGGTCAGGCTGGACGTGCACGCAGCCGGGGGGGCGGATAAAGACCACCACGGTGCGTACGCGGCCCGCGCTCTGGGACACGGTGGGTGGGTGGGGGGCTCAGGCACTGGGTCTTCGCGGGGAGGCGGGCCCCACGCCAGTGATGACGGGGACAGCGGCTTCCTGGCCTGGAGAGGCCCCAGCCTCACCGCCTACCCTCCGCACCCGCCTCGTTCTCTGGGCTCCCGTCAGTCCGTCCCTGGGCTGTCCCTGCTCCCTCAGGCTGTCACGGACAGTGTAGCGGCCTGGGACCTGGACAGAACCACCAAGAAGGTAGCTCAGGGCCCACACACAAGCGGTGGTTAGTGATGACCTCTCAATTCTGGGGCACGAGCATGCTTGGAACTCCCAGAGGACAGGTCAGGGCTCCGCAGAGGGATCGACTGGGGACCGGTGATGGCCCTCAAGGTCCGCTCCTGCCCGGGGCACCACACGGTGGCCACTCCACAGAGACCCTGAAAACCCCCGAGGGCGCCCCCGTCCCTCCCCAGTACCTCCCCCCTCCACTGAGAGGGCACACTGCAGACCTTCCTTTCCAGGCGCCGGGGCCAGCCCTGTCCCTGTGACTGCTGTTCCAGGGAGGGGGGAGGGGAGGGCCGGAGGGGCGGGAAAGGGGTCCTGGGACCCTCCCTGGGGTCCCTTTTCCAAAGGTAAGTTCCTCAGTGTCCACCTGTGTCTGCCAGTTCGGCCCCCGCGGCTCCGGGTCGGGGCCTGCAAGGCAGTGGCCCCTGCTGCCCGCGGCCCATTCTCTCCCCAGCCCCCTTCCTCGTGAGCTCCACCTAGAAACTGAGGACTGAGGTGGTTTGTGATCCGGCCGCGATTCCTGCCCCAGGGCCCCAGGAATGTTGAGTCGGGGAGGTGTGGGGTCCTTGGGGAAGGATCCGGAAAGCCCAGCTGGGGTCCGGGTCTTCTCAGGAAGGTGCAGGGCGCACCCCTCGGGAGCTGGGCCAGAGGAAAACTCGCCGCTCTTCCTCCCTGCCTGCCCGCTGGCCTGGGGTGGAGCCCATTCCCTGCAGGCCCCTCAGGGGCGCATGTGAGCACCGGCCACCTGTTGGTGGGAAGTAGGCAGTTCGCCCTTAGTGGCAGCGTGGGCTTGGCGGGGAGCAGCGTGGGCTGGGGGGGGGGGGGCACCGGCCGAGGGCGGCTGTCAGCCGAAACCATCAGGGCGGCCAGGGTGAGCCTTCCCCGTGGCAGCCGCTCGTGCCCTTCCGTGCCCTTGTTCCTCTGTGTTCCACCCAGGAGTGGGCCACCCTGTCCCCACACTCGTCAAGCCAAGCTCATTACCTGCCACCCGCCTGAGGCTCTGAGGGCACCTGGGGGCTTCTGATGTGTGGCCACCAGCTCCAGGGGCATCGAGGCAGCGGCCTGTCATTCTAGGGTCCCCGTCTGTACGCCATTCCTGAATGGCAGAGACCTGGAGACATGCAGACCCTGGCTGGCCAGGGCCACTGTCCATCCGTGGGGACCGAGGGGTCAGTGTGTGGCTTCCCAGCACGGCCCAGGGCAGCCCTGTGTGCAGGAGACACTGCTTGATGGGATCTTTCGTGTGATCACAGAGAGGAGGGGAGGCCTGGCGGGAGGCTCCAGACTGCCCACCACCGAGTGGCCCCGGGCCGTGGCCGTGGGCTCAGGCCTCCTCTCCTGGCGCTGGGAGCAGACCCTTCCAAGGAGGCGGTCCAGCAGTCGAATTGAGGCCGGTTCCCCGGGCGAATTCAGGCTCCTGGATCGTCCCCCACCCCTTGTGCTCTGCCCTCCCCACCCTGCAGCCCTGCGGCAGCGCCCTTCCTCAGTGCGTTCCTCCCCGTGAGGCCCATCCCAGGGCCTCACGGGACCGTCACCTTGATCCTACTGCCGCGAAAACCACAGCCGGCAGCCCCGTGGTCAGCAGTCCTGTGACCAGTAGCCCCATGGAGGTGGCCTTTCGGTCTACTGGGTCTTCCCCCCTCGAAAGCTGGGTGTGGCTCAGCATGGGCCCATGTGTCTTCCAGCTCAGAAGACAGATTCTCCGACCTGCCCATTCCCCAAGGAGCCTGCCCGGGGCAGAGGGGGGGGTGGGCACCTGCTGGTCCAGGTGCAGGAGGGACACGTGTGCTCCCCTCTGTGGGGTGGGTGCGTGTGGCGGAGGGCGGTGGCGGCGGAGGGCGGTGACGTCTGTCCTATGCCCGGGGCCGGCCGGCGCTCCCGCTTCCTGCCGTGGGAAGGAGCGGGCGGGCCAGGGTCTTCCTAGGCATCTGCAGAGCCTGGACTGTGGTGACCTGTTTGCAAAGCTTTCTGAAAAGTTCGCTTGAGCGCTGGACCCACGCAGCATATAACTGGAGGTGTAACCCCGTCTTCTAGGTCACATCTCCAGTCTCTTCTAGGTGTGCAGTTAGCGCTCTGGGGCATCCCATTCCATCGCGAATGACTTTGCCGGGAGATGGGCTCCAAAGGACCTGGTGATTGCCTGGCCGTGTGACAGCCAATTACAACCTAGCGGCTACAGCGCGTCCGGGGCGCTGCCCCCCTCCACGTCTCACCTCACGCCTCCGTGAGGCTGTGCTGTTCACGACCTGCCCCCCCCCCCGCCTGCGAGCGGCCCTCGCTCAGGGCCCCGACCGCATGTGCGATGAGTTAATCACCCCATTTCCAGAGGAGCCCCAGGCACGTGCTGGTGTTTGCATTTCCTAGAGCCGCTTCTCAAAGGGCAGGTCCTCACCCCATTAGTGGGTCAGGAAATTAATTCACTGGATCAGGACCAGCATTTAGAAGAAGTTAGAGGAAATAGAGTAAAACCAGAGACTCCCGTGCCGGGAGGGAGAATGGCGCTTAGTGACGGGCACACAGGGTCACCAGGTGTGACAGGGCTGTCCCGCCCGGGGTCCCGGGGTGGTCCCGGCCTCCGATGCTCCGCCTGCCCGTGGACGTCGGCCTGCACCGGGAAAGGTGACCCGGGAGGCTGCCTCTCTCCGTGGTAGCCGCGGAGGCCGCGAGCTGCAGCTGTTCCTGGCGCTAGGGAGGCGGAGGCGGTATTCTCTCTGCTGCACCCGTAACCCGCACGCGCTGCCAGGGGTCGTCGTGCGCGGCGGTCCGCCTCCGGGACCAGAGCAGAGCAGCTGGATGGAGCCCGTTTCCGAGCCAGCCGTCGGGCACCACACTTGAGTTCTGTGCGGCACGAGCGCCCGGTTACGGGAGTGTGGGTCCCGTTCTGCTCAGGAGCGTGGGTTTCGTGGAAACTCGCTTCCCCCAAACCACACCTCCCGAGGGCCGGCTCTGAGACGAGGCCCGGCGGCCGCTGCCTGAGCTCGTCTGAGCCCAGATGTGCGCGTCCTGCCCAGCTGTTCCCTGACTGCTGGCAGTCAGGGGTGCACCCAGCATCCGGGCGCCTCTGTTAGACCCTGGGAGGGGACGCCCGGCGGCCCGGCCCAGCCTGCCGACCGTCCGGAGGTCAGCGCTCAGTACAGACCAAGTCACAGAGCAGACGAGCGGGGGGGGGGGGGGGGCGGGGGCGGCTGTCTTTGACTCCTGTTGAGTCCTGCCCCTTAACACCTCCCGCGGCGCTGAGCATCTGTCCACAGAGTCCTTGTCCGGCCGTGCGGGCCAGCGTGGGACAGGGTGGGGCTGAGCGAGCTAGTGTGGGGCAGGGTGGGGGCCGTGCGGGCCAGCGTGGGACGGGGTGGGGGCCACTGCCCGTCTGCACCGTCCTCAGGATGTGAGGATGTCTTGTCCAGACGACCCACTTGGCCCAGAGATGCTGCCTCAGCCTCCTGCAAGCTGGGGGCCCCACACCCTGGACCCCCGAACAATGGACCCCAAACAGTGGACCTCAGACCCCAGCACACTCTCCTCACACTTGTGCTGAGAATTGTACAAGGGCCGTCCTTAGGAACTCAGCAAAAGCTGGCTCCGGGCTCCCAGTTAAAAAAAAAAAACAAACAGAACACACATGCTTCCCGTTTATGCCGTCTGGATGCCCCTTAAAGTGACAGGGACACACAAAGGAGAAAGGCATATGTTGGGGGGGGGAGGAGACAGAAGGAGGGCGCCGTGGAGGAGGGGCTGCAGGGGAGACCCCAGGCCCCCCCGCCCGGCCCCACAGCAGATGGCCCCACGGGGCTCCATGCCTGGGGAGCCCCCAGGTGTTGAGGGGCTTCCTGAAGACCCAGGTCCTGAGAAGCACTGGCCCCTCAGCTCCTGGAGCGCTGTCTCCCTGGAGGAACCCCCCCCATAAGTCCCCTGCAGTCCCCAGAAGTGATCTCTGCAGCTTATTCTTACTGGGCTCTGGGGACCAGAGGTGAGATGTTGAGGCGAGTCTTCTCCAGAGGGTCCGAGGGAAGGTCCGTCAGCCTCGTTCAGCGTCTGGGGCTCCAGGCGCCCTGGCCGTGTGCCCACATCGCCACGTGGCTCCGTGCCCATGGGAGCCAGTGGTTCCCTAGGGAACACGCGGCCGCCCCGTCCAGGCCCATCCCAGATTAACAATGATTCTGTCTCACGAGCTTACTTATTATGTCTAAAATGACTCCATTTCCAAAAATGTTACTTTCCAAGGTCCCAGGTGGGCATGAACTTTGGGTGGGTGAGGGTCCCATCCCACCCACTAACTTCCCAAACCCAAGGTGGAGACGGGGTGTCGCTGTGGTTTGGGGCCTGAGGACCCTCGTGGGAAGCCCAGCCTCTGCCCGTCGGGTCCACAGGCCACACTTGCCATCGTGGGGGAAGCGTAGGGCCGGTGCCCCAGCGGGAGCGCAGGGGCCGCGAACCCCCGGCCTGAGAGCAGGCGTCCTGGAGGCCGTGGGGCCTTCGGCCGCACCCAGAACCGGGGGGCGGCCGTGGGAGTGGAGGGTGGGGAAGCGTCAGGAGGAGGCACATGAGTGCAGCCCTGTCCCCAGCCTCTGTTCTTCCTCCCGGGGGGGTGGGGGGCCTGAGCCCCCGGTGGGAGGTGTGACGGCCCCGCCTCCGCCATGCTGCCCTGTGCAGGGACCCTGCCGACCAGCCTCGCTCCACCCAGAGGTGAGCTGTCACCCCTGTGCTCCCGCA